CGAGTACGGCGGAGCAACCTTGGAGGTTATGCTCTTTGGAACCCGCGTGCAGTGGGCGCGCGAGCACCCAACGACCCGTACTGAGGCGGATGGTCTGCCCGCCACACCCCGACCGGCGCGCAACGAAGGGGGCGTCGACGACCAGGTCGACGGTGGTAACCAAGTCGGCAGCGAAGGCAGCACGAGGCTTCGTGGAGTGATTCGGGCCGCTGACTTTGGCGTCGGCGGAATGCAGGCACGAGTTCAGCGCTCGGCGGCAGCGGGAAGTTCGAACGGCAACATCGATGGTCGACGCATTTCTCCTCAGCGGAGTGGAGCCAGGCCGACATCGGCGACTCATGCGTCGGCTGGTCGGGACGGAGGCATCGCGCCGGCGTACGGCTACTTCAAATTTTCGCCGGACAAGATCGCTGTGCCGAAGCCGCTCGAAGGACGACATGACTTGATCACATGGATTGAGTCAATCGAACCCCAACTGGAGATCGCTGGATTGAAGAAGTTCGTTGACGGCAAGGTGGAGATGCCGGACGAAGACGACTCTGAAATGTTGGCGGAATTTCGCGCTGCTCACCTTCTGACCTTCATGGTCATTTCGAGGTGCTGTTCGCCGCTGGTGCAAGTCGCGCTGAAGCAGTGCCGACTTCAAGTGGACGCCGGCTACCAAGCGTGGCAGTACATCATGCGCACCTACAGAGCGACCGACGACCTCTACATCAGCCAACTGGAGAGGACATTGGCCACCATTCGCATGGGCGAGCAGGAATCGGCGACCGAGTACTGCAATCGAGCGCGGCGAATTTTGGCCGACATGCGGATGGCTGGTTTCGAGTACTCGGTGGCGTCGTATGTCACACACGTCATCAACGGCCTTCCCTCGAGCTACAATCTGATGCGCCGGATGCTGATCATGCCCGGCACGCGCGAGACTCTGAATGAGGACTCCCTTTCGAGCCACATCATCCAGGACGAGTTTATGCAGGAGTCTGAGCGGTCTTCAGAGCTCCTTCCGCAGGCTAACTACGTTGCTCCGACGAAGCAGGGACGTCAGACGGGGCAGCGTGGGAAGTCGGGCGGAGGTGGAGGCGGTGGCGGAAAGTCGTCGAACACCAAGTCTACGGAGAGCGCCGACCGCGGAAAGTCGGCGAAGGACAATGATCGCGGAAGCAGTGGTTCGCGTCGAGGAGGACGCCGCTGCTACATTTGTGGAGACCGTGACCACCTCTCCTACGACTGCCCTGATCGCGACGAGTCCGACGACAATCAGAGAGGGAGCCGCGGAAAGTCTGAAAACACCAGTCGTTCAGAGGACGGGAAGTCTGACAGCGACAGTCGTCGTCGAGACAACCAGCCGCGCAAGGAGAAGCCTGCGTCCTCGAAAACGGCGTCGAAATCAGAGGGTGATGCTTCGAGCGAAAAGAAAGCCTCTTGTTCGATGGTTGGCGTGGTCGAGCCAACAATTTCGCTGGCGCCGGAGGCTGGCGAAGACTTCCAGGCGGTCGCAGCAGCCGTCCAGGCGAATCCGACTGTGGTTCTCCTCGACAGCGGCTGTTCCCATCATCTGATGGGAACGCGGGAGGCCTTCGTCGAAATGAAGCAGGTTCTCATCCCCGACGTGTTGTACGTTCCGGGCGTACACGCGAACCTACTGTCTTCTGGCCAGCTGGAGGAAAACGGCGTGAAGCTGAAGCACGAGGGTGACGAGATGCTGCTCGTTTCTGCTGCAGGAGATGTGCTCGGTCGAGCACGCTACACCGGCCGAGTTCTCTGCACCGACCTTCGCCCCTGCTCCTCGAAATCGACTACATCTGCGACAGAAGCAGTTGCTCTGCGGACGATCGCATCGGCGACGAAGTCAAAGCCGGCTAAGTGGCACGCGAGGCTTGCGCACGTCGGCATTGACACGATTTTGAGCTCGGCGAAACATGAAGTTGCCATCGGCCTTGACATCGAGAAGTCCACTGGAGCTGACGTGCCGTGTACCTCCTGTGTCGGCGGCAAGCTGGCGCGTCATACGTTTCCAGAGATGGGATCAGAGGCTGCAAACGCCCTCGATGTCGTGCACATTGATCTCTGTGGCCCCTTCCGTGTGGCCGCCGCAGATGGGAGCCTCTACTTCCTCCTCCTCAAAGACCGCAAGACCCACGTGAGCGTCCTCCTCCTGCTCGCACTGGTCGTCGTGTCCCACGTGAGCGTCCTCCTCCTGTCCCTGGCACTCACTACATGACTCTGCGTCCCTCCACTGCTCCTCAGCGTGTTCCGCTGCCGTCTCCTCCTGCGTCCTCTCTGCCTACTCTTCCTGATCCGGAGTCTGACTCCCGTCGTGCTACCAGTCCCACTGTCACCCGTCTCCTCGCTACTGTTGTCACTGACCCTACCTTTGAGTCCACCGCTGCGTCTTCTCTGGTCGCTGAGTTAGTTGACTTTGCTGCTGCCTGTCGTCTAGACTACGCCACTAGCCTCGTTGCTGAGTCTGAGTCTGAGTCTGTCTGTCCTCCGTCCGTCGGGGGTGAGTGTGCTCTTGGCACGGACGTCCTTGAGGACAGACAGGAGGAGTTCCAGTGCTTTGCTGCTGCTTTACCCCACCTCGTGTCCATGCTAGTTGCCCCTGAGGGAGACCCGGATGCACCAGACATCCCGACCCCGCGCACTTACGCTGAGGCGATGGCGGGTCCCTACTCCTCTCAGTGGCAGACAGCCATGGACGCAGAGATGGCTTCCTGGAAGTCCACACGCACCTACGTCGACGAGGTTCCCCCACCTGGGGCGAACATCGTCAGTGGCATGTGGATTTTCAGGGTGAAGCGACCGCCGGGTTCTCCGCCTGTCTTCAAGGCGCGCTACGTGGCTCGAGGCTTCAGTCAGCGAGAGGGAGTTGACTTCTTTCAGACCTTCTCCCCCACCCCGAAGATGACCACTCTTCGGGTGCTGCTGCACATAGCCGCTCAGCGCGACTACGAGCTTCACTCACTTGACTTCAGCACTGCTTTCTTGCAGGGCAGCCTGCACGAGGAGATCTGGCTGCGCCGCCCTCCTGGCTTCACTGGGTCGGTTCCTCCTGGTACCCAGTGGAGACTTCAGCGGCCGGTCTACGGTCTCCGCCAGGCACCGCGTGAGTGGCACGACACACTGAGGACGACACTTGCGGCTCTTGGGTTCGCTCCCTCTACTGCTGACCCGTCACTGTTTCTACGCACAGACACCTCACTGCCGCCGTTCTACATCCTCGTGTACGTCGACGACTTGGTCTTTTCCACTGCTGACACCGCGACACTCGCCCACGTGAAGTCGGAGCTGCAGAGGAGACACACGTGCACAGACCTGGGTGAACTGACAAGCTATCTTGGCTTGCGGATCACCCGGGACAGAGCACGGCGCACCATCACCCTGACTCAGTCACACATGGTGCAGCAGATCCTTCAGCGCTTCCGCTTCACGTACTCCTCGCCTCAGTCCACTCCTCTGCCTACCGGTCACTCGCTCTCAGCTCTGCCTTCGGATGAGTCCGTAGAGCCGAGTGGCCCGTATCCAGAGCTTGTGGGCTGCCTCATGTACCTGATGACCTGCACTCGACCTGACCTTGCATACCCTCTTAGCATCCTTGCACGCTTTGTTGCTCCTGGCCGTCACAGGAAGGAGCACATGGATGCCGCTAAGAGGGTGTTGCGCTACTTGTGCAGTACGTCGGGCATGGGGCTAGTGCTTGGAGGGCGAGACCGAGTTGTACTTACTGGACACTCAGACGCTTCTTGGGCGGACGACCAGGCTACTCAGCGGTCGTCTCAGGGTTACACCTTCAGCCTTGGCTCCGGCTCAGTTTCTTGGCGTTCTACACGCTCTTCTTCTGTTCTCAGCTCCAGTTGTGAGGCTGAGATCTACGCCACAGCCATGGCTGCCCAGGAGCTTCGCTGGCTGACCTACCTGCTGACCGACTTGGGAGAGCGGCCTCGTTCTCCTCCAGTGCTGTACGTCGACAACCAGGCTGCCATTGCCTTGTGTGAGGAGCACAGACTGGAGCACAGAACGAAGCACATCGCCCTTCGGTACTTCCTTGCTCGAGAGCTGCAGCAGCGTGGTCAGCTTCGTCTGCGTTACGTGGCCACTGAGGCCAACCTTGCTGATGTGTTCACCAAGGCGCTTCAGCCTTGTGACCATCAGCGTTTCTGTACTCTTCTAGGCCTTGTGCCTGCTGGACCTCACTTACTTACTTCTTGACCCTGCTTGTACTGTGATCTTTATATATATACCTGCATGTTTACACTTGCTAGGTTGTGATCACTGTATCTCTTGTTATATTATCAACCTGCATGTGAACTGGTCTTGTGACCGCTTGCTTGTGCTCGGAATTTGTGTGGTATCCTTGAGATCCACCCTGAGCTTGTTTTGCTTTGCTTTGACTGGTCTTGTGACCCCTTGCTCTCCCCCACTTTGCCTATGGGGGTGTGTCAAACATTATATATGTTGTGTTTGTTTAGGCTACAGTGGGTTAGCCTATGGGGGGTACACAATTCTAGGGTTTGGTACTTGTACTGCTTTCACTCATAGTTCAACCATTCCTGTCCGTTCATTCTGACAGCTTTGTGTGGGTTCGCCCGATCGCGAAGAAGAGCGACGTGCTGGTCGTTTTCGAGAAGTGGCTGAAGGAAGTGGAGCGACAGACTTCGATGACGGTGAAAAGGTTGCGCTCAGATCGCGGAGGCGAATTTCTTGGCAGGAAATTCACCGAACTTGTCGAGGACAAGGGTATCCTCCACAACCTCACCTGCCCCTACACCCCACAGCAGAATGGCATGGCAGAGCGGGAGATGCGCACGGTCGTCGAATCTGTGCGGACGATGCTGCTTCACATGGGGGTGAAGCATCACTGGTGGCACCTCGCTCTTCGCCACGCCGTCTGGGTGCGCAACTGCCTCGAACGGGCCTCCCTTCCCCCGAGAACGACGCCGTATGAGCTGCTGTTCGAACAGAAGCCGGACCTTACGCTGGCACGAGTGTGGGGCTGCATGGTGCAGTTCATGGTCCCGGAGCAGCAGCGCGGCGGAAAGTTGGCGCCGAAGGCACGGTGGGGCATTCACCTTGGTGTTTCGTCAGAGAGCAAGGGCTGGGAGGTGCTCGATCTCACTGACAACCGCATTGTCACAACCGTGGAGGCAATTTTCTACGAGACGATGTCTCTGGCGGAGTGGAAGGCGGAGCACGGGCCGGTGTCCGAGCGGACGAAGATTTCTCTGCCGACCGATCCATCGCCAGCGGCGATTTCGTTGCTCGAATCCGAGGACGATGGTCCTTCAGATGATCCCGCTCCCTCCATTCCGCCCTCCTCGAACGCTCCTCCACCTCTCCCTACCTCCCTCCCATCGCTCGCCGCCGGCTTGCCTAAGTCGGCTTCAACGTCGGCCGCCAGCGATGAGGGGAGCATTGGTGCGTCACCTTCGGATCCGCCCATTGGCATCGCTGGCGGTCGACGTGATCTGGTCAGCGAGCAAGACGGCGACGGAGTGAAGTCTCCGCCGACAGGGGAGCCGGCGAACGGGGAGCGCGTTTCAGAGGAGCCGCCGACGTCGAACGGGAAGCGCGTTTCAGAGGAGCCGCCGACAGGGGAGCCGTCGAACGAGGAGCTCGCTTCAGAGGAGCCGCCGACAGGGGAGCCGTCGAACGAGGAGCTCGATTCAGAGGAGCGGACGACAGGGGAGCAGTTCGATGAAGGCACCTCGAGCGACGTTGTTGAAGTCATCGGCGGCGATGAAGGGGAGCTGTCAGCCGGGGAGCAGTCCAGCGACAGCGACGTGGTGGAAGTCTCTGCCGACAAGCCCGCAGTTCGACGTTCCACCCGCTCTAACTTTGGCAAGCCTCGCGAGAAGCTGAGCTACCATGCTTGCCTGCCGCCGACCTCCTACAGCACTCTGCTCGATGATGCGCAGTTCGACGTCAACGTTCCAGAGCTCGACCCTGATATGCACGCCGACCCGGAGCATCGCTGGGACATCGCTAACATGACAGTGAAGGAGGCGTTAGCGAGTTGGAAGGGCAAGGCGGTGAAAGCGGCGATGGACGAGGAGATTCGAAGTCTCATCACCAACGGCACATGGGAGCTGGTCGAGCGTCCGCGCGGCGTCAATGTCATGAAGAACCGCTGGGTTCTGACGACGAAGTATCACGTCGACGACACGGTCGCACGCGAAAAAGCCCGCCTGGTGGTGAAGGGCTTTACGCGGGTCTACGGAGCTGATTACGAGGAGACGTATGCACCGGTCGGGAGCTACGTCACGCTGCGAATTTTTCTCAGCATTGTCGCCGTCCTCGACCTGCACCTCATGCAGCTGGACATGAAGAATGCGTTTCTTCAGAGCAAGCTCGATCGCGTGCTCTACATGGACCAGCCGGCTTACTACAACGATGGCACTGGCCGCGTATGCAAGCTGCTGAAGAGTTTGTACGGGCTGAAGCAGAGTCCTTTGTTGTGGTACTCGGCGCTCGACGCTGTTCTGACGGGCGCTGGCTGGAGCAAGAGCCAGGTTGACGAGGCTCTCTATTTCAGAGTTGGCGACGACGGAGTGGCGTGCTGGGTGCTCGTCTACGTCGATGACCTGCTCGCCGCCAGCAGCAGCACCGCGATGCTGAAGGAGCTGCTAGAAGCTGCATTTGAGCTGCGCGAGATCACCCCGGTCGAGAAGTATTTGGGGCTCGAAATCGTGCGCGACCGTCCGGCGCGGAAGCTGTGGCTGCACCAGCAGTCCTACGTCGACAAGCTGCGTAGGCGCTTCATCGACGAGGAGCAGACTGGTCGGCGTCCGAAGACGCCTGTTTCCGTCGACGCTTACGCGGAGCTGACTTTCGACGATGAGGACTTCCAGTCGCGCGAAGAGGAGGAGTACCGTCAGAAGGTCGGTTCTCTGCAGTTCGCTGCCACGACAACTCGACCCGACATTGCTTTTGCGTGTAGCAAGCTGGGATCTGGTCTGACGGTGAGGAGCGATCAGCACTGGCGCGAGGTCGATCGCTGCCTCAACTACCTCTCTGACACGCGCGATTTCGCTCTGGAGTTCGGAGGAGGACCCGAAACTCTGAAACTGGTCGGCTACGCGGACGCGGACGACGCTGGCGACAAGCAGAATCGCACTAGCACAAGTGGCTACGTTTTCATCTTCGGCGGCGCAGCTGTCTCCTGGACGAGCCAACGCATCAAGTGCGTGACTCTGTCCTCTACAGAGTCGGAGTACATCGCGGCCACCGAAGCAGGCAAGGAGGCCCGTCGACTTCGATTCCTCCTCGCCGAGTTCCAGCTCCTCGATGCTGGAACACCGACTACTCTGAACGTGGACAATCAGTCCGCCATCGCTGTCGCTGAAGGCTTGGGGCTCAAGGGCAACCTCAAGCACATGGAGCGGCGCTACGCTTGGCTGCAGCAGATGGTGAAGCGCAAGAAGATTGCGCTGGAATACATCCCGACATCCGAGCAGCCGGCGGACTTCCTCACGAAAGGGCTGCACTTTCCGGCCTTCAACCGGTGCTCTGTCGCGGTCGGCCAGGTTCGCCTTGCCGAAGTCGGCGACGACGACGACGTGCAGCAGTAGGTGCCATGTCCTCTAACATGGCTGGTGCGGTGATCGGCGTGCGGAGGTGTGCACGCCAGAGAAATGTCCCCTTGTATTTTATTAGCTAGGTTCTGGGTGGACCTTGTGTGTGGGTGCCCAAGCGTGAGCTGGGCAGGGGAGTGTCGGAGTGAAAGGCCCCGCCCTCGCTTGGGCGTAGGCATTCTCTGCGACGACGTGGTGAATTCGACGAAGTGATCGTCGCATTGGAGCAGCCCGTCCTCTGAAACCGCGGGTGGTTTTCGAGGAAGGTTGTCCTCTGATTCACCAGCCCGTCAACGAGCTCTGGTCGACGGGGTGCTGTTCGACGAGCTCGTCTTCTGATCTGCTTCTGGGTCGCGCGATCTCTGACGGACGGGGTGCTGTCCGAGGAGCTGCGTTCTCTGATCGAAGGGCGCTGTTCGGCGAGCGTCAGCTTGGCGAACTGGTCGACCAAATTCGCGCGACTGCGAAACTCTGCGAGGGCATGCGAAATTCGCTCAGGTGGCTCTTAGCGAAATTCGACCTGCGAAATGGCATCACGTGCTCGACGGTGGGCATCTGGAGAAACCGTCAGAGCGTTTTCTACCTGGCACCTGCGCAATGTCTCTGACGGTGTAACCGTCTACCTGCACCTACTCGGCAGGTGCACACCTGCGCAGATATTCACCTGCGAATGCAGCGCTGGCAGGCCGCCCTGCTGCAGCGCTGGCATGTCGCCCTTCTGCTACGCTGGCAGACCGCTCTGTTTCAGCGTTGGCGAACCGCTCTGATGCAGTGCTGGCAATTCGCCTTGCAGAATGGTTGCTAGGGGTTGCAATGCCATTCCAGAGATATCACTTTGCATGCTCATTCTTGTACTCTAATTCTCAATTTTCAATGTACTTTCAATTTCCTTAGTGGAAACTCTTGCCAAATTTCTCTGTGAACAGAGCAAGTAGTGAGAACTCTGTTAGAACGCTACTAGAGCGCTACGATCACCCACACAACTCCGTGCCCTCCTTCGTAGTTCACACCCGTTGTAGGGTGACTCTCCGGAGAAGGAAGCTTGAGGACGAGAGTTGCTTGGTCCATATGGTACATTTTTTTGATGACTACTATTGGGACTAGAAACCTCTAAGCACACCTTTAATCTACACTACGATTTCCCAAGTGTGAAAGCGGTCGTGTGCACTAGGGTGCTCCCAAGCTCCGTTCCGCAGCGTTAGATGACTGATTGGCTCGTGTGCAGATAATTTCCCTCACGTCAATACATTGATAGAGAATAATTCATTCACAAAAGAGTCACAAGAGATTGATCACAAACAAACACAAGCAAAGATATATACTAACCCACCAAAAACGAAAGCTAACAGCCCACCAAAACAATAGCTGGAACCACACTTCGAAATGACAGCTTTCTCCACGCGAAAATGGTGGGAACGTACTCGCCCACACTTAATTCTATGGGCCATACTTGTTCGCGAAGCCTCGTGGACGCTCGTGGCGTTTCGTGGCGACAGCTCGTGACAGCGCACGGAATCTCCTGAAGAAATCGTGCAGTTACGCGACGAAATTAAGCTGTCGTCGAAATTCCCCTCGCACACGTCGCGACAGTGTCGAATGTTAATCGCGCACTTTACGAAACACCTTGTAGCGAAATTCCCCTCGGCGAATGAAGACAAACAGCTCGAGGGTCCCACGAAATCTAACCTGGACCCACGCGCACTCGTCCTTTCCCACTCGCCACCTCACCGCCACACTCGCGCGTGTGGCACCGAATTCAATTCCGGACCTCAGGCCGAGCGTGTGCTTCGTTTGGCACCCTCCGGCCATTTTGGCGCGACTCCCATGATTGCGCCACATGCGCAACAGTGCTCGGGCTCATGGCCTCGAGCCTTGACCACCTCGCTAGGGCGAAATCCCTTTAGCCTCATAAACAAAACACGAAATTACAAACTAACTAACTCACTTTAAGAAATAAAAACGCAACTCCCAAACTTCACCCAGAAAAACCCGCGAGCTCACACGAAGTCACACGAACTTTTCACGAACAGACTCACGAGACCCTCATGAACATTTACGACACTTACACGAACACTCGTGACTCGCAGATCTCATGAAGTGACACGAACGCACACGAAAACTCGGAACTTACGAAATGACACGAACACTCGACTTGAACTTACGAAAACTCATGAACATTCACAAGTGCAACCATTCACAAAGACGATGATAACTCACGAACCATTAAGGTGATTCACGAACCGTAAACACCAAAACGTAAAGCACGGAAATGCACACCTCACACATAACAAATTTCCTTCAAACAGAAAACTTCATTTACCTTCACCGCTGGCGAATAGGCGGTAGGTTGACGTGCAAAACGCATATTGCACTCAACAAACTCCCCCTCAACCTGCCGACTATTCGAACTCGTAACCATCACTCACGGACTCGACAACACACTTCACCTTTTTCATCGTTGGCGAAGAAGACTTAGCCTCCTCACCCAACAGCTCCTCGCTTTTCTCTAACTCAAGGTTCTCCTTGTCGACCAGCTTCTTCTGGTTGCCGATCCCCACACCAGTTCTAGGCAATGCACCCTCGTTCTTCCCCGTCAAATCAGCTTCCACGACATATGCTGCAACCTTTTGCAGCTTCACCAAATCATTGCTACTACCACCCCTAGTATTTTTAGCTTCCTCCTTGCTCAGCTTCACACCGGGTTCTCCAATCACCCCAGTTGCATCAGCTACAATGCATGGCATATTCAGCACCAACGGTTTCTCCTTAGCAGCTGCATTATTCTACTGCACCTTGGCTTCAAGTTTCTGCTTCTCACTCTTGTGCACTCTTTTCTCCTTATCCATAGCAGCAACGTTGCCCTTACTCCCCCTGGGTTCTGCACCCCTTTTCTCATCAACACCAGTTGCACTTCGCCTTTCAGCCGCTGCAAGTCGAACGTTAACCTGGTGCAACTGTTGCACCAGCATCTTCACCGTTGATTTCAGCTCCTTGATCGTTTTAGCAATCGTCATAGCGCACTCCCCCTTGCAGCTGCACATTACATTCTGCTTCACAGGTGCCACCTCGCTCCATGGCACAACTGGCACATGCACAGCTCGTCCTTGCACAAATCTTCGTCCTCATGCAGACCCCAGATTACACGATCTCCGAGCTGCCCCTTAAACGACTCAGCTCCATTGGTTGTCGTGCACACGCCTGCAAGTTCCATCTTCCTCAGGGAAATCAGGTTCCCCTTCAGCTCCGGCACCAAGAGCACGTCATCTAAAACAATCGGCTTCCCATGTTAGAAGTGGTGAAGAATGTGGACAATTGTGGTAGTAAAAAGTTTCTCCCGTCAGGTTATGGACTCAGATATGCACCAATCACTGACAGTGCATCTTCTTGGTGACTCCTTATACACTCTCCTTACATTGCAATGCATGG